TAGAATTTGGATAAAATCCAAAGGAGTTATGAATTTTTAAATGGAACGGTGAAAACTAAAATCGGCCTTGTCGAATCTAGCCAACAAATCTAAAATTTTTTATCGTGATGAAAATTCGTATTTAAGGGTATTAAAAGGTGCTTAAAACAAATCCGACTTTTTAAAAATAATTTTTTGAGTTTATCAAAGACTGGTGCTAAAAGTTTTGGACAGGCATCTGCACAGGTTTTGGCAAGCAGTTCGGTTTGAAAGATGGTTTTGGACGGCACCGTGGTGATCAAAGTTTAGCCTTCATGCCCATGCCATTTCCTCGTCTTTGAGCCGTCCGTATACCATAGAATACCATAGACGAACTGCAAGTTTAACATTTTTTGCTTTGTATTTCCAGTCAGTTCTCTTTTCAATATTATGAATGATTTTTTAAAGTCTAGTTAGTTTTAGCCGTGTCCGTTATTTTTTACTTTGTCAAAAATTTTGGTACTTGCTATTTTCTTCCTTTCCACACTGCTTCCCCTTTAATATCCATATTCGACCAATATGAGCAAGTGTAGCACCTTGACTATACATTCCATCACGGCCGTGGATGTTGTTTTAATAGCACCAATGATGCTAAGTTTAGTGACTGGGAGTTTTTGAGATAGAGTAAGCCTGAGAAGGGCCGGTGTTTTTTTTTCGTAGCGTTGAGACGATGTATCGAGGCCCGGACCATGTGTGTGCCGTTGGTTGTGGTCCGTGACCGAATGAACGTTGGCTGCTGTTCGGGGGCCGTGAGTCGGTTGACTCTGCAGCGGTTGAACGGACTCGGGTGCAGCAGTTGGCCAATAGCCAAGTCGGATGTGTTGAGAAGGCGAGTTTCAGGCTAATGTTGCGAGTACCCTTGCCGTCGTCGTTGTCGGTGCTCCATTAGTGATTGGGGTGAGCTCAACGGTTGACGAGTCTCGAGGTTTGAGGTGAGAGCTCGTTGGGGAGACTGAAGTCAGTGCGGCAGTGTCCCTGCTAAAGAGCTAATATTCGCAAGAGCTCTACTCTGATTGGCTGCAGAGTGGAGGGCGAGACCATTCCATAACAGGTAGTGGCACCTAGCGGGTACCGTGGTACTGCCGGTGGCCATCACACTTAGGGTTTCTTTGGATTGTTTGTAAAATTTGCACTATCTTTCTTTGTCCTATTTTTGCCCAACACATATGGTCTGACAATCGTAAGATATCACCATAAGGTCATTTTAGGATTAGCCTCCAAGTAAACTGGCCGAATTTGCCTCTCATTATTTCACTATATCTCCAGAGTATCCTTGTACCTTTATAGCTTGTTAAGGTCAACTACCAGTGACCATAGGGTTGGTGATAGTACTCTTTTTTGGGGGCATATTACAGGATGGGGGCTTATTTGGGGCGAAGAATTAGTGTCCGAAAGGAAAGAATGGAACCACAGGAGGTGACAACGTGGGAGAAAGATAAAGTTTTATTAAATTGACGCTTGACCAAGCGAAATTGACGATAGCTCAAGTGGTAGAGCAGCGGCGTATCTAGCCGAAGATCGTGGGTTCGAATCCCGCTCCACTGACTTGGACTTTTTTATCTCAACTAAAAAACCTTAATTAATTCTAATAAATTACATTCATTCCTATAAAGTAACATAAACATAACACCCGATATAAACATAGAAGTCACATTCACTCCCCAGAGTACTCGGTATTCCTCGGGGCGGATTTGAATCCACTACATTCTCGCTAATAATTTACATTTCTCCAGACGTCACACACTCACCCCAGAGTACTAGATATTCCTCGAAGCGGGGTTAAGCAACCCCTTTCCTATCACGCTAATAAATTACATTCATTCCAATAAAGTACATAAACACAACACAAATACAAACGAACACTATATACAGTTAAAAATCCCTTTAGCCTGGAGGTACCCGAACCCCGGAGGTGCCCGCTAGGAAGCTTGTTCATCTTACGTCTAACCAATTGAGGGCCAAACCAGCGCCGAACTTCATCCATGACTTCGAGCCGTCTGTGAAAATGAGATAGAGAGATAAGCGACAGAATGCCACTTAGAAAAATAGAATTAACATCAGTGGGTATTTTTGAACGGTTGCCTGCATTCCGAAGCTAACAGATTCATAATCCAATTAGAGTTCTCAGTTTCATAAAGAGATGAAATCTATAAAACAGGTTCTAGGTATGTTTCTCTAAGTGAAAGGCTTTTCCACCCTCTCTCTCTCTCTTATGAAGTAAATCGTGCAGTCCAGATCACCTAGACCAAAGTCCCATTCAGATAGCAGTTTGATGAGATCGCCACCTTCAGGGTAGTTAAGATTGGCTTAACATCATAATATTGCATATTGGAACTATCTAACTAGAAATGTCTTAAACGAACTACTAAAATGGCAACCAGTTGGTTTTCTTTTAATGGTAGTTGACACGACAACATGAGTCATACAGAAAAAAATTATATATTAAAAAACATTAGAAAACTATGTACACTGACAGGCAAAAAATTCCACCCAACTGATTTTTTTCATTTTCGCAATAAAAGAAAATTCTGCCATTAATTTGTCTCATTGTTTTTACCAATAAATATTTGTTTCTGCTATGTTTTAAATTGGGAATATCAATCCTTAATCCAAAACAAGGGTAAAGGATTTTTCAATGTTTAGTTTTTCATTAGAATTCTGAAGCAATAAACTATAGTTTTCAGCTTTGTTTTCTTAATTTCAGTTTTTAAACTGAGGTGTGCACGGTGTGGCACTTATTGATGATGGACGTTCCATCAGGTATGTGGAAATTGTCATCGGAGTTCTTTACGAAACACAGCGGAACGCCGTTAGACATTTTCCAGAAACTGGGTCCTACCGTAGAAGGCCCGGTACCGGACGCCTTAGGGATAACAGAACCACAGTATGTCAGTTTTTTGACTTTGAGAACTTTGCGAAACCGGCACCATACTGTTGTTCAAGCGAATCATCAGCTCCAGGAAGTTCGAGGTGTCCAAATTTCTGACCGTACTGCTCAAAGACGATTAAATCAGTATGGGCTGATAACGTTTTTACCCGTAAGAGTACCAGAATTGTCCAGAACACACAGAGCTGCACGGCTCCCATTTGCTCGAGAACACAGCCATTGGTCTTTGGACGATTGGTCTGCTGTACGTTTTATAGATGCGTACACCTCTACACATAGAGGTTAAGGTCAGAGCACTAACCAGCTGCTATAGATTAATTAGTGAAGGCAGTTGGAACCATAAGGGAAACAACATAGGTCACTCGAAAATCCTACAATTGTTGAGTAAGGTCATCGGCCAACTATTAAGCGTTAGCGATAAAAAGATTCGCCCTTCAGGGAAAAAATACTTCCAGGTAGTTACTCCGCGTGAATATAACTACAGCGCGGATGATGACCATCGTAGCCTAGACTGTTTTACCGATGGCTCACTCATTAAAGGCAAGGGTAGCGGTTCTGAAATACATATACATAAATTAGGGATCAGCATCTCATCCCCTCTTGGTAATAACACCTCCGTTTTTCAGGCGGAAATATTGGCCATTAATGTTTGCTGCAGAACACTTATGGATAATAAAATCAAGGGAAAGATATTAGAATTTTTTCCGACAGTCAGGCCAGTCTTAAGTCACTACAAAAAGAGCAATCAATATTTAGGCTGGTGGAGGAAACTGTTGAACTTATTAATAGGATCACTACCAGGTACGAGAATAGGGTAACCCTCATTTGGATACCAGCACATAAAGACACTATGGCAATGAAGAGGCGGATAGCCTGGCCAAAGAAGGCTCAAATACTGCGTTTGTCGGGCCACAACCGGTATTACCCCACTCTATAAGCACAGCGAAAGACAGTATTAATAACTGGGGCATGAAACAATTCCTAAAAGAATGGAATCTGTCCCCCGGACCTAAGCAATCGATAAGGCACTACCTCGCAGAGTGTGATAGGTATGCCAGGCATAGATTTCAAACTTTTGAAGGAGAGGACATCACCAAATCATCAGATAAAATGGTCCAAAATTTTGGGGTTTGTGAACAAGACCAAGAGGTTTATGCAGGACACGTGAGCCGACCAAGTCCCGGACCTTTTGGATGGGGTACGAGTCTACCCAGGCATTTAACCCCTCGGGTCATGGTCGCCCGCCCTGCGTAATATATTTACAGATGCGTGTAAATTTGCTCTACGATCTCCAGATTGTCGAGAAAGAGTGTGGAGAAGGCGAAATGAAAGGTACGAAGGTTGTAATTTTTCCCGCCAACCTTTTCAACGTAGCTCAGTGTATGGATGAAATGTTGGAACATCATGCGTTACCTATCCTCGATGAAATCAGCGACAATCCTATTCCAATGCACCATAATTCCCGTCCGCATGTCGCTCGCATAGTTCAAACGTACCTTCAACACCCACCATCAGCCCCTTCTTCAGACTTGAACCTCGTCGAACATTTATGGGATAACCTCAAAAGACAAATAAGAGCACGTCCATCCTGATCCACTCCGCCATCTTGAAAGGACTCGTCGTGAAGAATGAGCTAACCTCCAGCAAAGAGACATTTCCAGACTGGTAGAAAGTACGCCGAGGCATCTTCGAGATGTAATTAAGGCAAGAGGAGGAAATACGCGATATTAAATTGTTAATTAAAAATCTAAAACAAATCTTATCTGTCCGTCTTTTTTAATTTTTTTAATATTTTATTTTTCATTTTCTTTAGCAATTTACATTTTTTTAGACAAAAACTCAATTATTAAACGTTAAAAAACGTGAAACTTCGATTTATACATAAAAATATATACAAATCAAGTTATATTACAGTAAGGGGCTTCAAGCGTTTAAAACATACCGAAAAAAGTTAAAGAAATAGATAAAGATGAAATTTAGAAAATGGAAATAAGCTGGCATAATAAATTGGGCTGATCGTAGTACTTTTCTACGATAGCATTTCGGGTCTAGAAATAAACGGAGACTTTAAATAGACCCAGTCTGGGAGGAGAAGTGAAAACCAGTGTTAAAGACGAGTCAGTTTAGTTGTGTCTTTCCCATCGGCAACATCATACCCGGTCATAAAGGTGCGTATGTCAGTCCTATATTTTTTTGTTTTTTGTTACATCGACAAGTCACTTGCATGATGGGTTTGACTTTCAAAACTTGGGATAATTTTTTGAAAAGGGCGAGAAATAATTCAAGTTCATGTTAGGTGATGAGATGTTAAAGCTTGATTTTTTTTTTTAAGCTATCATCTGTACTTTTCTCTTAAGAAAATCAGGTCTTGTATGACCTATCCCTAAAAATGAAATAAGTTGAAATCTTTTTTTATATATTTAAATTTAATATATATACCATAAAAAATACATTTTAAACAAAATATTTAAAAGGAAATCAATTCTAAAAAGAAATACAACATAATTAATACATTATTTATTAATTAATATTAATATAACTACATATTAATATAGTTGTAATCCACGTTATCAAAAAAGTATGAATATTAGTTTTTTCTCTCTAGGAAAAAGAAAAGATCATATAATTGAATCATAGCAGCATAAAAATCAATTCCAAGAGTGTTTAGTCTACTATTCAAAAATTTAAAAAAAATAATTACCACGTTTTTAATAAAAATCTGGAATATTAAATTTAAAACAATGTTCTAAATACGGACGGGAGTCCATGGTGTGAAAATCTAAATTTAGATGGATGAGGCTCTTTGGAACAGAACGTTCTAATTAGAAGTTGAGTAACCTAAAAAAAATTCTATGGATATGGTAAGTTTGAATTTTTAGGTCGATTTTAATCAGCCCAAATGAAAAACGTTCAAAAGCTTCGAGCTTCAAACTATGGAACCATTTCGATTTTTCATTTTTTTAAAATGAAAGCATAAAATCAATTTAAATTTTTATGGCATACTTTTTTCATTGTTCGCCATTTAGTCCTTTGTGATGATTTTCAGGTCGTACTACGTTACATTGAACTGACTTGAAATTTGTCCGTCCTTTTCCTCCCCTCGTCGTCTTTTTCTTTTATCATCATTCATCAGAATCCACTAAAATCGACCAGTTTCAGATGAAGAATTCTAGTATTAAAAAAAACAAGGTTGAAGAAAAATAGTTAAAACGCCTGAAATAGTACAATTTTTTGTCTGAAAAAAGCTTAGACTTTTCTATGCGTTCAAGAGCATTTTTCGGATGTTTTATCAATGCAATTGAAGAAGAAAAAAAAACCTTTTTTTGGATCAAGCGTTATATTTCCCCCTGATGCAGGGTGTACTTGTAATTTGATACTTACCTTGATCCTCTCCAACCCTTTGACCAAGTTGATCAAGAATCAAATTACAATAATTTAATGAGGGAATAGATCTTTGAACGTACTTTGGCGATTTCTGATTTTTAGGTGTTTTTTTTGTGTGTAAATTTTAACCTTTATTTTTTTCACTTATAATTACATAATATAAACCGTGTTCACATATGCTGGAAGATGAGAAATTTCCACGATTTTTCCAGATTTCCATTGATTGTAAAAACGTTCAATTTGGATTAAATCTAGAGGTGTTATGAATTTTTAATTGGAAGTACAGCACATCGGAGAGTGAAAAAATTGCCCTCGTTGAATCCAGCCTAAAAATCTGTATTTTTCGTTTTGTTATGAAAATTCGTATTTAAAAGGTGTTTAAAACAAATCCAATTTTTCTTTTTCTTTTTTAATTTGTCCTACTTTACAGAAAGTATCTTTAGGTTTGTATAACTTTTTATTTATCTAATCTCATTTGTTATAATCCTCCATATTATCTTTTAATCTTAGGCAGAAAAAACACCGAAAGAATATTACGAAATATTAGAAAACTTTAAATAATGAAAACTAAATTAGCCAGGACACATTGTCTTAAGGAAAGTTCAAGGTCTGAAATATGGGCTGGTCGAAAATTGAAAAGTCAGATTCTGAAACGATACAGCACAGTAACTGAAACTTGAGTAATAACCTAAAACATCTAGAATAAATGAGAGCTTTGAGGAGCTTTTGAAATCCTAAGGACGTCTCACACGCTTGACTTTTTCTTATAAATTTATTACGTGTCATGTTTAACTAAGATAATAAATTATGTTACTAAAAACTGTAATACTCAATTTTATTTTAGCATTTGGAAATAATGACTGTTCTGTTTGTGACATACCAATGGGTGAGATGTAAGCATAACTGACGTGTTAAATCTTAAAGGGTAGGCAGACCAAAATGATCACAAATGACCAAACTATTTATACGTATTTATATTTTTGCATTAACACATTAATGTACGTCAATAAAGATTAAAGGCAGGCTACATTTATGAAGCAATTAAAAGTTGTCAGTTATAATAATAATGATGATTATTATTTCGAAAAATAAAGCACATTGCTAAAACAGGTTCTAATTGGATCTTTAGTTCTTATAGATCAACTTGGTCTGCCTGGCCTCGCTGGGAAATTTTCCACCATTATAGACTTTTCTAATCCACTATGCTCTTTATGTAATTTAATATATAGTTGTCCTATTTACGTTCGGACCTAGTCAATTTTTTGAGCATACCGTCCGAGAATGAACCGTGTTTCTCCTGGTGGAAGCATCTCCGTGGAAGCGAGTTGCAACGTTTATTTTATTGAAGTTGTTTTGTCAAATTTTGCAGAATTATTCAATGATTGACATTCGCTATTGCGTTTGGAGAGCAAATCCGAGTCGCGGTCGTGAGTAGTCCAGGTGGGGGGGACTTAGGCTTAGCTAGCGTCCAGGCCTAGCCCACCCCAAAGTACTTCAATCAACGTCTTAATACTAAAGACAGTAATTTTATAAAATATAAATAATTTTATTCTATCATTTCGAAATATTGATGTCCTATTTGTGAAATACCAAAGGATGTCTAGACATAACTGACAGACAATTTCAACGAAACTAGATAGAGCAAAATGATCGAAAATGATTAAACTATTTATATATTTCTGCGTTAACATTAATTTGCTTCAATAAAGATTAAAGGCTGGATACAATTTTGGAGAAATTAAAAATTTTCAGTTGTAATTTATACAACAATTATTATTATTTCAAAGTAGAAAGCCCATTGCTAAAACAGCTTCTAATTCGATCCTTAATACTTACAGATTAACGAGGGTCTGCCTGTCTTCGCTGCAAAACGTTCCCTTATTAGACACTTTTTTAATTCACTATTATCCTTTTGGAGCAGTCAAACGTATCTCAGTTGTAATTTGTACCATAGTTATTATTTTTATCTTTATTATTATTAATTTAAGTGTAGAAAGCCCATGGCTTAAACTGTGGAACATTGCTTTATTATGGACTTTTCTAATCAGATAGATCCTAACTAGTCTCATTATGTTATCTCATTGAAACTTTTTTTGGTCATACTTGGTGGAAAAATATTACAAAAATGTCTGAGCGGTTTTGCACAATAAGCCCTAGGAGTGTAGACATTTAAAAAAATGTAAATTGCATAGTTTTTTAAACATGTTTTTCTGCTTTTGTAATGCATTTCAATGCACATGTATCAACGTTGTTAAACCCAAGATAAGAAAATAATATGTAGAATCGTGTTCAATGAGATTTGATGCATAAAAAGTTACAAAAACCACAACAGGCTTTCAGTAAACTAGGCCAAAAGTTTTTGTGCGAAAAACAAACAAAAAACAATTGAGATTTATTTAAGCCAACCTTTAAAGCCCTAAAATAGGAATTTTTATAGGAAATTTGGAATGGACATTTTTGGGTGGATTCGCCACAGGTGATTTTTATCGGAAACAAAAGATCGTCATTTTTGGGTGGATTCGCTACCGGTAATTTTTTATCGGAAATAAAAAAATCGACATTTTTAGTTGGATTCGCCGCCGGTAATTTTTATCGGAAACAAAAGATCGTCATTTTTGGGTGGATTCGCCACCGGTAATTTTTATCGGAAACAAAAGATCGTCATTTTTGGGTGGATTCGCCGCCGGTAATTTTTATCGGAAACAAAAGATCGTCATTTTTGGGTGGATTCGCCATCGGTAATTTTTTATCGGAACTAAAAAAATCGACATTTTTAGTTGGATTCGCCGCCGGTAATTTTTTATCGGAAATAAAACAATCGACATTTTTGGGTGGATTCGCCACCGTTAGTGTTTTTATCGGAATTAAAAAATCGACAATTTGGGTGGATTTGCCACCGGTAATTTTTATCGGAAACAAAAAATCGACATTTTTGGGTGGATTCGCCATCGGTAATTTTTTATCGGAAAGAAATCGACATTTTTGGGTAGATTCGCCGCCGGTAATTGGAAAACTGAATCTTTTAATTTTCAGGCTGTGTCAATAATGTTTGTATTTTATGCCACCATAAGTGAGAAAGGTAATGATGAAATTTTAAAAAATAAACACTAAAACGTTTTATTTTATTTCTCTTGTTATAATTTATTTAAAAAGGCCAGGATTTTGCTTTTGTTGTCCACGGATTTCAGGTTATTTTACATTAGTTGATTTGCTATTTTACCTAGGATGATAACATGGAGGATTATGTTAAATGAGGATTAAATATATAAAAATGTACTAAAACCGAAAGAACCTTTTTCGTAAAGTGGGCCAAAAAAAAAAAATTAGTTTTTCAAAAAACAATTCTCATTCGATTTAGGTACCTTTAAAGCCTTGATTTAAAGCCTTTAAAAAATGAATTTTCATAAGAAACAAAAAATAATTATTTTTAGGTCGGATTTGCCGGGGGCGAATTTTTCCTCTTTGTTGTTCCATTTAAAAATGCATAAACATTCTTGATTGACTCCATACGACCGTTCAAAAGATGAATTTCTTTTCTTTAACCCTATGCCAACCAGGTTTATATGTTGTTTCATTATTAGTGATAAAAGAAGGTTGGAATCAACAAAAACATCGCAAACGTTTTATTTTACTTCTCTTGTTTTAATTTATTTCCAAATAATAAATAGTTTGTGCCATTACGCGTGGTTTAGAGGGTTCTGAAAGACTAAAGTTTCCTGTGGTACGGTGGAGTCATTTCAAAGTTAAACACCATTTTTGTAATTTTCGAAAAATAGGAAAGTCT